CCCCCCCCCCCCCCCCCCCCCCCCGGTCTCTTAACAGATTATCAAGAATGACCTATGGGTTAACCCAGTACGCTACTACATGAGAGGAACTGGCTACAGGAGCAGCAGAAAGAAGTATGAAAGAAGGCACAGGTGATTTAAGAATTGGTGCCTGAGAGGGTTTTTTTGTTTGTTTGTTTTTAATGGGGCAGAGACTAAGCTAGTACCACACAGGATTTAGAGAAGTGCAAGGGATAATCTAATGCATTGTTTGCAAATGAGCAATCATGCCTGAGGTTACATAATCAGAAGTGGCAACGGGACTTTCCCCCATTCTTAGAAGCCCTGGTACCTTACTGCCTTCCCAGTTTTTCCCATTAACCTTATACTCAGCTTCAAACTTCCCTACAGGCGATTCAGGAATGCATATGAAATGGTGATCATGGAAGACATTCATCACCCTTTTGCCACTGAAGGCATTCTCAGTGAAATCTCAGAAATTGATGAGATCACTGACAGTGAGCCCATTCATGATGTCAAGATCTCTGACTTCATGGAGACCACCGACTACTTTGAGACCACTGATAATGAGACCCTGTGTGACAGCGAGAACCCTGACCGTAATGAGGGCCCCAAGAATAAGATCTTTTACAACAAAGAGAGCAATGCTGCAAGTACAGACGACAGCAGTGAGGCCCCAGAAGAAAAGAGCACCTATGACAGTGAGAAAGCTGACAACCACAGCCTAGGTGACTATCAGCAGGGTACTAATATCCAGGAGAGCAGTGATAGTGACAATGGAGATGAGGGCAGTGATGATGAAGATAATGATGGTAATGAAGGTGACAGTGAGGGCAGTGATGATGATGGCAATGAGGGTGACAACGAGGGCAGTGATGATGATGACAGGGACATTAAGTACTATAAGAACGGCGCTGAAGTCTTTGATAAGACTCTGGAGAACAGCACCAACCAGGATGTCTATGAGGAGGAGGTCGAAATCATCTCTGAAGAATCAATGCAGGAAGAAGAGGAGGAGGCCCCTGAGGAAGGTGAGCTAGACCCCTCCCCCTCCCTCTCTCTTCTGAGAATGCCCAGGCTTCTTTGGGCAACTAGTGGTGAGGTAAACAGAATGTATGTTCTCTACACTCAGAGAATAGAGCAGTTAATTTCACCTCAAGATGTGGAAAAGGAGAGGGGAGAGCTAGAGAAAGGAGGTATTTGAGCCCTTTCCACAGAATAGATCAGTAACCTAGAATGTTCTGAAAGCTGCTTCTCACAGAAAGGTTTACTGAGTAAATACATTAGGCAAAAAAAAAAAAATGCATACAACGCCCTCTCCCAGTTCTGAAAACCCTGCCTTTAAAAACCATATTTCACTTGACAGAACTCCACATTTCCCAAACTTCTTGACCACAGACCATGTTTCTTGTCCAACAATGTATGCATTTGGGGAACGCTCATGGATGTCTGAGGGATAAAGCAGTAGTTAAGGTGATCCTCCGTTTAGTTCTGGCCTGAAAGACTGCTAAAAGAGCCCATTTGAACCCTGGCTATGGGCAGTCAGAGGAGAGAGGAGCCCCTGAGGGAGGTCAAAAACAGGGCAAACCATGACTGAAGGTTTGCTCATGCGTTTCCTGGCAAACTTCCAATGAAGAAAGGCGCCCAGCACGGAGAAAAGTGAAGCATTTAGTGAGAGAGCAGCCAGCAACATGCATAGATTTGGGGTAAGCTAGGGAAAGTAAGAGAATTGCCAGTCTTCTTTGCCTCCTACCTGATAGCATCTCGTTTCTCCAAGGATGGGAGGCAGGACTACCTAGCTCTGGCGTGGGGGGGGGGGACTGGACAGAAGAAGACAGACTCGAGTTTGTTTGGGTCACACTAGGGGTAAAAAGTGACTGATAAGCATAAGCCCAAGGCCTCGCTGAAAAAGAAACACACTTGAGGAGGATGGGGGCGGGCAGAGGGAGAAAAAGCTCCTTTCAGGAAAGTGTCCATTTTGAGCAGGCAAAGATAAATGCTCTGCCTCGTGCCTTCCTGTTTTCCTGCCTCCCTTCAAGTCCTAACCTTTGGGTTTGAATACAAACAATTTCAGTGGCACTTCCTCTCCTCCTGCTCCCAACCCCGGGTCCTCTCTCTCACCCTCCCTGTTCCAAGCAAAAGCATTTGGCAAGTGGTCCCAGCCCCTCAAAAGCCACAGCTATTTGCTCTGTTCACTTTCCGAGGGGCATCCGACCACGCTCCTCCTCCTCCTCTTCACAGGTGTGCTAAGCGAGGCCAGCTACGAAGAGGAGCAAGTCTTTGAGGAAGAAGGAAGTGAACCGAACTCCGAAGATTCTGATGTCCAGGAGGTGTTGCCGGTCCCAAACGCTTGGACCAGCCTGGGGAACAAGGAGAAAATGGGATAAACGTCTTACCCTTTGGGGGCTCTCTCTATATACCCCTATACCCTATCCCATTTGCCCTCCTCTTCAGCTAGGGCTGTGTGGCCCCACATTGCACTTCTGGGGGCAGACCGACTTAATACACGGGTTTAAAGTTTATTTTTATGGTTTAGTAATTGCAGAGTTCTTATTTGGAGGAGGAATTACTCTCCCCTTTGGCCCTCCTCCCTGCAGGCTTCTGTGTGCTGCTAATGTTATTTATTGTGATGCCTTGGTCAGGGCCCCTCTAGCCCCCTTCTAGTGTGAGTGAGCATAGGCCCAAGCCCGCCCCCCTCTCTCCCCGTGCTGTGTAAACATCGTGAACACATCGTGTAAGTGAGGAGGGCCGCCGTGACCTTCGTCACAACTGCGCAGTGGCCTCGAGACTCTGCTGCCGCCCCCTTCTCCGAATTCTTTCCTACCGCTTTCTTCCCTTTACCGGCCCTGACCACTAGCCCGCCTCAGTGTCTTTGCAAGGCAGCTTCGCCTTCGTGATATTCCTGCTCCCCAGAAGTTCCGCCCCTTTCCCCGTGACCCTTGACGATCCTAATAAAACTGAGCAAATTCAAAGTGCCCCTTGGAGTCTTTTGTCCGCCTCACTGCGCCGTCCCTTCGCCAGCAGGAAACGCCCAGACACGACGGTGGTACAGAACGGCTCCAGGCTCGGCGAGACTGCAAACGCATTGCATCAGACCAATGCGGCTTGTCCTAGCCAATGAGTGGACGAGGTTGAGGGCGCCCCCTCCCACCCTCAGAGACCTTAGAAACCCAGCCAGGTAGGAGAGAGCTTCCCACGCCTTTCCCTCTGGCGCACGCGCAGAGAGATCCTGCGTCCTAGAACATCAATTTGGTGACTCATCTATTAATTTTCAGTGCGTCAAACCATTTTTCAGGCCTAGTTGGAGCTGGGTGTGGGGGAGCTATCTTTCTTTTTTCACAGATAGTTAAAAAAAAAAAAGTCACGACAACCGTCTAGACAGCACAACCAAGTCACGAAGAAGTGCTCGCCTGTCTGGGGAGGGGGAAGGGGTGCAAGGTTCCTGGCCTTGAGCCCAGTGGGGAAGGCAGGAAAAAAAGATGGCCTAGGTCGTGCAGTTTGCATTGAAAATAACGAAAAAGCAAGGAAAATTACCGGGTAGCCATGTGATGAGACGAACAGGCCCAGCCAGAGCTGGGAATCTAAAAGGCTGGCTTTCTCTGGGAGACCTTGGAAAGTGCTTAACATTATTTCAACGCACCAGAAATGTTTACCATAATCACTCGATCATAATAGCGACTAATTTTGAAATATTTTTATTATTTAAGATGTATTTCTTTTTATGTGTGTGAGTGTTCTGCTTGCATATATGTATGCACACCAATTGTGTGCCTGGTGCCCATAGAGGTCGGAAGAGGACATCAGAACCTCTGGAACTGGAGTTACAGATGCTTGTGAGCTGCCATTTGGATGCTGGGACCAGAACTTGGGTCTTCTGCAAGATCAGTAAGTGCTTGTAACCACCGAGCATCATTCCAGGCCCCTAGTTTACTAAACTATGTGTAGTGTACGTAGGTAAACGTAAGAGCGGGTGTCCAAGGGGGTAAGAGGCATCAGATTCCCTGCACCACCCTACCAATGGTGGTCTAGGAACCAAACTCTGATCCTCTGGAAAAGCAATACATACTCTTAACCACTGAACCATCCTTCAAGCTCCAAAGATGCCTTTTAAGTATATACCCTAGTGGGCTTTTCATCCAAACTTTTCATCCAAAGCCTTATTTTGCAGGACAGCTTTATCAAATTTGCATTTTTGGAAATGCCCTCTTCTGATTGCGAGGAACACAGAAGGAGAGCCCTGTGGAAGTGGGCTTATCTGTACCTCAGATGAGAGTGGAAATTTGTTCAGTTTTGGTTTTGTTTGTTTTTGAGACAGGGTCTCTCTGTGTAGCCTTGGCTGTCCTGGAACTAGCTCTGTAGACCAGGCTGCGCTCGTACTCACAGAGATCCTCCTAGCTCTACCTCTTGAGTGTCCCAGCTGAATTCAGAATTTTGTTTGTTTGTTTGTGTTTGTGGGATTTTTTTTTGAGGTAGGGTTTCTTTGTGTAACAGCCCTCTCAGTACTGGAACTCACTTTGTAACCAGGCTAACCTAGAACTCACAGAGATCTGCCTGCTTCTGCCTCCTGAGTGCTGGGATTTGGACATTTCTAAAAGATCCTTTTTTTATAAGTTTCAGAACAGTTTTAGATTTGAGAAATACTGCAAAAAAAATAGAGAAGTCTTGACTACCTCACAGCCAGTTTCTTTATTATTTACACTCCACATTAGTCAATTAAAGAACCAATATCAACACATTGTGATTATCCAAAGTCTGTATCTTATTTAGGCTTCCTCGGCTTTAACCTATGGCCCTTTTCTATCTCAAGTTCTCACCCAGAATACCACACTGCACTTAATCGTCTTGTCTGTCTCCTTAGGCTCCTCTTGATTATGGCATTTTCGCAGTTTCCTTGTTTTCTGAGACTCTGGAGTTGTCAACAGTTGAACAGTATTTTGTAGAATGTCCTCTGACTGAGAATTATCTCTTATTTTCTGCTTATGAAAGAGGGTTATGGGGTTGAGGGAGAAAGACCACAAATGTTACCTGCCATTTTCATTGCATCCTATCAAAGGTAGATACTATCAATAGGACATCACTGTAGATCTTAACTTTGGTCACCTGGCTGAGGCTGCCTCTGAGGTTTATCTGCCCTAAAGTTAATCCTTCGCCCTGTCCTGTACTCTGCAGAGAAGCTAAGTATAGCCCTGCTTTAAAAAATGAGGACTCGTGCTCCTTTTACTTGCGAGGAGAGTGCCTACATAAATTAGCTGGAATTCTATTGCACAAAAATCTCCCTGTTCCATAACAGCTTTTAGGGTACTGGCATTGACAGCCTTTACCTATGGTAAGAGAGAGAATAAAGGAGTAGAGATGGTACCAGGTTGCTGTGGGATCCTTGGCAAGGACCCTTCCCTTTCTGGGTCTCTTCTTTGACATGGCTTGAATGCTAGAGCTTAGACATCGCTCTAGCTGTTCTCGGTAAATATTTTGGAGAAGAGATATAGATTCTGATGACTCTGATTCTGATCTTGATTTACCTTGTCAGAGTAAGGTAAACAGAATTGAGACTCAGAAGGGAGGAATGTCTTAGCCAGGCACGGTGCTGCTCACCTGGAAGTACTCAGGAGGCCGAGGCAGCAAGATTGCTTAAGCCCAGAATTCAAGTCCAGCCTGAGCAAGATAGAAATGTTCCATATAGTCTATATTCCTCAAAAGGAAAAACAAGCTATTACAAAAGGGGACTGGATGGTGGTGGCACACGCCTTTAATCCCATCACTTGGGAGGCAGGGGCAGGTGGATCTCTGGGAGTTCGAGGCCAGCCTGGTCTACAGAGTGAGTTCCAGGACAACTACACAGAGGGACCCTGTCTCAGAACCCTCTCCTCGCGAAAAAAAAAAAAAAAGAAAGCAAAAGGAAAGAAAAAGGAGTAGGGCATGATGGTGCACACCTTTAATCCCAGCGTTCAGGAGGCAGAGACAGGCAAATCTCTGTGAGTTTGAGGCCAGCCTGGTCGCCTGATCTACAGAGTGAGTTACAAGACAGCCAGGCCTGTTACACAGAGAAAACCTGTCTCAAAAGAAAAACAAAAAAGGGGGATGTCTTATCCAAGACTAGAGTTTATAGAAAAGAAATTTAACCAAGGCATCTTGTGGAGAATAAGGATCTATATCTCTGAACTATCTGAATCCAGTCCCCAGTGAGCATGTGTGTGTGTGAAGGAGAAGGGAGAAGAGGTCTTAGGGGCAAAGTCCCTGGTATGGACCAGAAAAGAAGTCAGCTTGGCAAGAATAGCTCAGTCAGTCTAACAGGGAGCAAGCCTGGTTCCTCTTGCCTCAGTGTATCAAAATGAAGTAATTCCTTCATCCTCTCTAGCAATTACTATTTTAGCCTAATTTTTCTGGCAAAATCAGCCCAGGGGTAGCAACCGGCCTAAGATCCCAGGACAGAATCTAGCCTTGAAGCTAGACTTCATTGTGTTCTTCCCCAGTCAAATCCTCCGCTCTTCATCCAGGCATTTGAGACTCTTTTCTAACCACTCTATCCAAAAGGGACCCTGATCTTCTGGGACACTCTTAGGAACCTGTTATGGGAGTTTACTATGGTGGGCCAGAGTGGTTATGCCCTGAAGTGAATTCAGTATGGAACAAGAGGAAGTTCTTCACCCAGAGTGACATCTTGTTACCTGTACCCTCCTTTCTCAATCTGGGTCTTCAAAAACAGGGTTAGAATGCTTTTAATGTCAAACCTAGCTCTAACATATAGCACACAGCAAGCATCCCATGGTCATCATTAGCTGTGACTGAAAAAAACAGAAACCAGGGCCTGTTCTCATGTTGAAACTACTTGTTTCTGTAGACTACACATTTTATAGCCCTCTGCCACAAAGGGTCCTGCTGTTGGGTGTGAGGTTCCCAAGATCTCCTGGTGTCATGAAAGTGCCATTCACTTTTGTAGACAGAATCAGACTGGCAGGGACAAAACCAGATTCAGGAATGTCCCTCCTTAGGTGACCAAAAAAGCCAGCATTTGTTCACTCAATTGCTCATTTAACACATACTCATTGATACCTCCTATGTGCCTTGTACTAGACAGGGTAATAGGAATATAGGAAGGAAACAAAAGAAAACAATCTCTCTCCTATCGGAGCTCAGAGATCAAGCTCAAATTTTTTTTGTCATTTATCTCTTTTGTGGCCTAGTGAATTCAGTCTATAGACTTTTCTCACAAAAAAAAATCTTTTAAAATAAAAAAAACATATCTAGAATTAGAAAGAAACCCAAATATTGAAATATTAAAATACAGAAAAAATATGCTAGAGTTATATATATGTTGCCCATGAACCCATTAAATGGTAAGGTGATATGGTTTAATGATGACGATGATGTATTTTTCTTTGTGTGTATACTCGTGTGTGCTCTCAGGCATGCACTCCTGTGTGCTGTGCAAAGGTGTGCAGCATCTGTGCTCAGATACCCATGAAGGCCAGAAGAAGGTTTCTGATCCCCTGGAGTTGGAGTTACAGGCAAGTGACATTCATACTGACACCCAAACGCAGCTCCTCTACAAGAACAGTAAGCACCCTTAACCAATGACTCAGCCCTCTGGCTCCCCAGCATCATGCTTTTCAAACATGAACTATAAATTTCAGAGATGACATATTTGAGATGTCTGCAATTTTATATGATGGAGAAATCTCTGATTACTACTGGAGACAATCACCAATATTAGAACTGTCAAGGTGAGTTATATTTCTTGGTTTTGAAAACAGTATTTCTCTGTGTAGCCTTGGCTGTCCTGGACCTCAGTCAGTAGACTAGGCTGGCCTTGAACTCAGAAATCCGCCTGCCTCTGCCTCCCGAGTACGTGAGTGACATTCTTTGTTGAATACATGCTAAATGTTGCTAAACAGAGAGGGGAAACAAAGATGTGAATTCGTTCCCATCCAAGTCATTCCTCCCTGCCCCCAAGCCCTATCCCCAGACTCTCCTGGAA